GGTTTTCGTCACTTTTGGGTTCCGTCAATCTTAATTATGTACTTACCACTGGCCTTAAATTGTCTATTACTCCAGTTCTATTTGTCGTAGCTTTGCGCTGCGAAAAGCACTACTCTCCTCACTTTCCTCACTACACGCACCCACTAATCTCACGTGGATGGTCCAAATAGTAGCTATTTTGCACTTTCAGACCGTAAATGCTGCTCCATCGTCGACTGCTCGATCGAGAATACGAAAATGTGTGCGCTTGTAAAAACACTAATTAAATTTTGCTTATTTCAGATATGAGATTTGAAGGTAGAAACAGCGGCAACAACTGGCCCAGTCCTCAAAAATCGTTCAATGCACCCAAGCCGTGGGAGAAGAGTGATTGGAGATCTGCGCCTTCAACTAGTGAAAGGTAAAAATGTTATTAATTCAAGCGGTAAAATAGCCAATATTTGTTTTCCTGATTTGCAGGTGGATGCCTAATAATCCCTCGCAAAACAGGACTTTTTCAAAAGAGTCAGTATTAGATATAGGTCCTCTTTGCCCTCCGCCACCGGGTATTAACAGTTACAATGACCGGTTCTCATATGGCGGTAAGTCCATGAGTCCTGGTATGAGGAAATATTAAATATAACATGTGTTTTATATGGACTTCCTTTATTAATGTATCCTCTGTAGCTACCAAGATTTATATACATTACGTTATTTGCACACTTTTATAAATTACTAGCTTAAGCATTTAATATTTCGTTCTATGTTGGGTTTTGCTACTTAGTAGAAGTTCTGTGTAAACGTTTTAAACAATAAAAATGTATGACTTTTTTATAACAGTTTGTTAGAAACTTCACTATTTTCCCATTTCCTTTCAATGTAAGCTGCAAAAAAGTGGGATTAGTGGAGGCAGAGAGGTTGAATTGAAACAACAACATTGAAATATTGAACAGTATAATTGATACCATTCAGCGACTATCTGTCGCATTGCACTGTACTATATACATACATAAATCTATTTAATATTACAAAAATAGATGCGAATCACTAATATTAAAATTCAAACGAGGTTTTTCGAAGGCACGTAATATTGTTGCAGTCAGTTCAGTTAAGTGAAGATCGAAGATTCCCTTCCCATGCGTCTTTTTCGTTTTGTCGAGTTTGTTTTTTCAATTCTGAAAAAGTTCTCAAATTTGCAAATGCTGGAAATGGAACAAAAGGCTGTTTTACCTTTGGCAACTCTCAAATCTTCTTTTTCTTTCGCATTCTGTTCCTTGCTAACTTTCGTCTTCGCTCCCAAGTGGCTCGTAATCAGTCGTCTGGCAGTTTGCAAATTAGTCTGAGGTCTTTTCATTGCTGGTTTCAGATCGCATTGATTGGCTTTTTCCAGTGCTAAATTACTGGCTGCTGACATTGGCCGAACTTTTATTAAGGCATTCGACAGTTTCAACGCTTTTTGGGCTGAAATTCAAATCGTTTTATAATGTGTTTTCAATATCCAGAATTCAAGCTACTGACCTTGTGAGGAAGATCCCAAAACTAACAAAGCTCGTGTATCATCAAGCCATTTCACATACATTGAATCGCTCTTGATTTCGTTGAAGTTGGATATGATGTCGTGAGTCTTAAATGTATCTGGAAAGTCGTATAACTCTACCATGTGTTCCAGCTCTTCTATTTGCTTTGAAGCATACGCTGAATAGTCTTCAGATGCTTTTACGATTGTTACTTCTTGGCCGACTTTTTCTATTATCTAACAGCAACAATAATTCAATAAGGAACTTTTTAAGTTAAAAATTTGTGAAAAAATATTACAAAATGTGGCCAATTTCCAAGTGCGAATTAGTGCCTTGATCGAAGTTGCTAATGTTAAATCAGCAAATTCTGAACAATCTCCATAATCGAATTGCATACCTACTTATCAATATTATTATGACTTCGAATTGCATTCAGCTCTGTGTAATGGTGAATTTCTTACTGCAAGTCAGACCAATCAATCGAACATTTAGAAGACAAAAAATTTTCTGCATATAATTCAGAGGTAGGGCAGACTTGAAGAATAACTTGTGCAATGACAATAAAATTTTCGTATTCGAAAATTTGCAAAGTTGGCAAAATTACTTATTTTTTAAGGTATGTATGTTTTCCTTCCATTAAAAATGCTATATCATTATCATCATCTCTAGAGTGAGTAACGATATACATCCAGACGAAATTCGGAAAAGGCTTGAACGTTCAAGAAGGCGCTTGATTAAACAGTACTGGCGTAAACTAAAGAGTATGAAAAAGAAACGTGTGATGGAATGGTTAAACCATTCTATCTAACAATCAAATAAATAGATATTGTATCGGATTTATTTTATGTACGTATGAAATATATTTGTTATTCTTTCACAGCGTACTGTTGTTAACATTTTAAATTTCAATCTGTTCTGAATTTCAATTTGTTTGCAGATTATTACACTTATCCAATGTCTCATTCTTAAGTGTAGTAAGCGAATTGAAAATGTTTGTTCTGTGAAAAAAGGTGTCTCATAGGTATAAGCGGTTATAGATTTTTGGTTGTTTTACCTTAAAGAACACTTGATATTCAGCAGTTTCTATAAACAAAAATTTTGCACGATCCACAAATTAAGACAAAAACACTAACGAAGTTTGAGCAAATCACCATTTGCATGCCAACTTGCGCGGGGTGTTGCCGAACTGCACAAAAAGGGTTAAGTTAATGGAAATTGTTTTCTTGAATCCTCAATATGTAGATTCATCCAATTGGGATTGGGGTATTTGGGTTATTTTTTACTTTTGTACATATTTTTTGTTTCATTTATATATTTAAAATTTCAACCAAATCATCAAATAAAAAACACAAACCAACGATATGAACTATCGACACTTGACACCCTTAATCAATCGCCATCGCTAGCAAAGACCGTTAAACTATCGCGAAAAACTCAATACTGATGTGTGATAAGACAGAACCTCACGTCAGTGCATGCATGATTTGTTTCGAAAGGGCAAATTGGAAAAGTGTGTAAGTTTCTTCGAGAATATTATGGACCATCCAAACTTTTTTCTGTTGTTTAATGTAAAGTGTTCTTTAAGGTAGAACAACAATAAAGTTCGTACTCCTGAAGCGATAAGTTCACCCAATTTTCGATTAAAAAATCAATACAATTGACTAAAATGGGACAAAGCATATCAACTGGGAGGAACGCAGCTTTGGGTTTACTTGACGATACCTTCCTGGAACTTATAACATGGCGAACTGAATCGCGCTTGAATGAAGAGTAAGTACCCCATACATGTTACAAAGTTGTTTACGTACGTGCCAATTTATTGGTTGTAATGCTTTCACTAACTGATTCCAACCCTTATCCTGATGAGTTGAGAGATTAAAGGAAAGTACACGTTTTCCTATGTTCAATGCCTAGTAAACACAGTTCGCTTGCAGCCTTTCGTGATGGCTGGATTTCTCAGGCTAAACAGAAAAGAACAAAATGGCGAGGCCACTGCTTTTCGCTTATCCTGAGAAATTCTGCATTGTGGCATTTGTCTACAAAACCGTCTGATAAGACGTTGTTTATGGGGCGCCTTATAAGACTATCAGATTTCTTTGAAGATATGCACTTTATCGTCGACATGAGAAGTCAGTGTTGAAAAAGAAACTGTTTGTTACTCGAGGGCCTCCCGAAATAACGAATACCAAGTCGAAAGTTATGTACATAATTACTTAATATTATTCAGTATTTTGCTGCGAAATGTGCATTCTGATTATTTAGATTATATCAACTCTTTGGGGTTAGATTTTAGGATCACTAGTTAAATTGCATGCATCTCCGACAATTCTGTTCTGTTTATTTTACTCATTATTCATCTGGTTATTTTATAAATAATAAGTCATTTTATTGTTGCACGACATTCTTTTCTTTTATGATGATTTACACATGCATGGATCTAGTGGCGTCAGTACTATTTGCATGCCAGTTAAGGTTTACAAGTGCATGGAGCAAAATTGACTCCAGTTTCAAGCCTGTGTCTCATGCATCCGGTTATACGATGATACGATGATACGAAAGTGTTTCTATTGGTTGGAGATCTGTCAATTCGTACGACGACGGACGAACTGATAGATCTCCAACCAATAGAAACACTTTCGTACCATCGTACCATCGTATAAACGGATGCATGGGACACAGGCTTCATTCGGAATAGTGTTAATTTTTTTATTCACCAACATCTCTTTGTTGTAATTTCATTCTAATTCAACAATGATCGTATTGAAACTGGGGAGGTTTTCTGGTTTTTACGTTTGCTACGCGAACATTGCCATACCACATTATACGAAAAATCCATGATTTCGATATTAATTTGTGAAAATTTCAAATTGAGATTCTCTTTCTAAGCATTTCTGAGTTCACACATCTGCTGCTGTCAAACGCCCTCCTTTTTTTACACACCGAACAACACAGAAGAAGATTTACTCCATGTCTGCTCGAAATTCTTAACACTGTTCCATTGATAACCAAAAGAAAAGAAATTAGTATCACATGCTGCTTAGCGGACTTGAACGCACTTTTCGACTTTTTCGTGTCTTTTGACGCGATAAAAAACGCTGAAGATGATGTTTTGGAAATGGTTTTGCACCAGAATGATGCTATAGCTGAATCAATTAAGTAAGTTCAACCCATCGTAGGTAATAATTTCAAGAGGTCAGCACATTAATTCGAATTTTTAGTGTTAATTTCACTCCCGAAAGGCAACGCGACATCGCAACGGCCAACTATATGATAAGTAAAGAGTTGCACCAACGCAAATTTCGTATGTGCTTGGATGACCTGGTAATGATCGCGCAGTTCCGCCAGTCTGATAAACCAGCACAAATACAACTATGGCTAGGATCAAGTTATAAACGGTCTGATGACGATGTACCGGAATAAGTATCACCGACGTCCACGCAACCAAAGAGAAGATCATCTTAAAATTTTCGATAATAATCTAAGTAGGTATTTTATGCGTTCTAATTAGCTATTTTTAATGCTTAGTTTTAACAACCTGTTCCTTTTGTATTTAATAATTTTTGCTGATTTGAACTGCGAAAAAAGGCAAATACAGAGCGCTTCTGTATTAAACTTTCGGCATGTTCAAAGCTACAGCAAAAAGAAAATCTTAGCTTGATGCAACTTCATCAGTTTAGCATATTTTTGATCAGGATTCTTAGTCACAGCAATTTTAGGTAGTGAAATAAGTTATTCGAGGCTGTGCAAGTTATAACATAACTGTGATGAACGCAAGTAACCTGATTCACTCAAGCGAATGTTAATCATAAGAAAGAACGCTTGAACTAAGCAATTATTTTAAGATTCCAATCTTCCTTTTACGCATTTTACATTTTAGCCATGATCTGAAATAAATAACTCCCGTACCTCTGTGAAGAAGTCATCTTGCAGTTCGCCATCATCATTGAATAAATCCTCCCAATTATTGACATTATCTCCGGTGCCAATGCTCAGTGTCTCGTGTCTTTCCTCGGCATATTTAATAATCGATCTTGTTTTTCGATTCATATTTTTTTTGGCCTGCCTCATTATTTCCTTCTCTTCTTCATGCCGGTTGTATTTATTTTTGCATCTTACAGATTCCGTATTTTGCGATCTAAAACAAGTATCGAAGCGAATCTGTCAAAATTAGATACTTAACAAAGCTGAAAAAAAAAATTATAGGCGATAATTACCCAATTTTTGGAGGTTCTATTCTCTCATCTAATACAAGTACTTCGTTAACATTTTTAGCCACTTTTTGACTATTTTCCTCGTTGTTTTTGACACAGAGGTCATTAACTTCACAATTACTTAGTGTATTCTCCTGCATTTGTTTTCCTGAGAATTCGGTTGTATTAATACTAGCTATTAAACTATCCAAGTCGGGAATTTCTATTTCTTGTCTACGATTTAATATTTTATAATTGACTAAATTTTCGGTATATTGTCCTAAATATAATTGGTCTTCGTTCTGGAAAAAACAGTGAAAATTAATTCGATTGGTTGTGAACAATTGGCACTACTTACAAGATGTAAATATTCTTCGGGTTCTAAATTTGCGTTGAAGCTCTGAAATTCAGTCACCGGGAGGTAGAACCGATTAAAATCCAACAAATACAGAAAGATTCCCTTTCCGGACCAACATAATTTGTTTTGAAATTCACTAATTACATCGGGAAGTACAAGATTTTCTCTGAAGTCCAAGACATTCTGAACAAGGACTGGATATCTGGTACTTGACCGATTCTGAAAATTTTTGTTCATTAGAATATTTAGCCAGTCAACAATACCCAAGTCTTACCGATTTGTGTTTTGCTGGATCCCGTGTGGTCCAATTTTTTAATTTTGCGCAATCAAAAATTCTGTTCGAAGGCCCTATGTAGTTTCCTCTTGTCAGTTGAAAAATTAATAGCTTTGAGTAAGGAAGAAAATCCTTAAGTAAGGAAAATTTCACACAGTTGCACTGGTCATCAAACTCTGGACTAATCACATGCGATTTGTATCGTATTTTTTTAAAATCCCAGAAGATGCCTATGTCCTGAGTAGAGTAGCACTTTTCACTAACTGATCCCCTGATCTTCTCTGTCTGATCTTTTACCTGACCATTGCAAGCTTGTGGTATTCTTTGGGGTACTTGGGAGCAACGAGTTTTATCATTTGTGCCCTGTTTTCCATTTTTTACAGTTATTTGAGCGTTAACTATTGATTCTTTTGGATCGGTGGACAGCTTGCGTTTTTCCGCGGGATGATTTCTTTGCGCAGGAGGGACGTATAACTGAATAGGCGGTCGTTTTTTTCGTGTAGCACTTGAACTGTTTTCAGCCATTTGTATGCTACATAAATTCTCTGCAGTTGTATTGGGTCTAGAAAAACGCCTATATTAATATTCCTTCTTAGCACTATACACCAAGCTACCACTAAACACAAAAAGCAATTTCATTTATTTAAATCACACAGATACTTACAAAAAATGTTTTTTATGGCAAACCGCAACAGATTTCGCACTTCTACTGCCTAATGATATAACAGCAAGATCACACAATTTGGCCTGGTACCTAACAAGTCTTAGATAATTTGGACTGAGCGTCGGAAAGACCAGCACGCTGAAAGTAATAATAATGAAAGTAAAATCTTGAAGTGCGGCGTTGTTGCCGGTATAAATTAACTTTTACTATATTCATCAAGGACTATTTCCTATACCCAATTTTACGTTTTTTAAGCTTAGGCTAGGAAGTAGAAATGTAAGTGTATTTTTCCTTCGTAAAGTGACACGTTAGTTCTATGCATTCCTTACACGAAGTTAGAGTTTTAAGAACATTAAAAGGGTTTTTCGCAATATTAATAAAATGTGTTGTGTTTAGTTTAAGTATGTTTTGAATGTGATTATGAAGAAAATATGTTATTTGTCATACTATTTTATGTAACTATGTAGTAGCAAAATAAATAAAATGCAACCGTCAGATATTTGTTTGTTTTATAGGAGGTTTTCCCAGAACTATGAGTTTAGCTCAAGCTACGAAACTTATTTACTTCATTAGCAAATCAGATTATTTTTTAACCATGCGACTACAGCCCTCTTATCATCTTGCCGCCTGTACTAACTAGCTGCAATTGCTACTTATGTATAAAATAAATTGCAAATATTCATTTCCTTGTTTTTATGGCACGCGAAACTAATTTTATGGGAAATTAAGTGAAATAATTCTGAATATAAATGGTACTCATACATGATTTAATGGTACAATTGGCATTTAGGATTTCCAGATACCCGTTCCTGTCTGCTCTCGGAAATTTTCCTGAATAGTATAAGCAATACTTCAAGGAAAAAAACCAAGTATTTATCCAAAAAGTTATTGAAAATCAATGTTACATGTTTTGGATGTTAGCACTGATATTCACAAAAAAAAACGACTAAAAAACCGTGACAAACACTGCACGAGGTAGTTCTACAGCAACAATTAGCGAGACAAGTTCCTATACCACTTTTTCGAAAACTCATTAAGAACTGATCTACAGGGCGTCAGAATTTTTTTGTGCATAAAATTACTGTTTTAAATTTGGCGCACTTATTATTAAGAAGTTGACATTTATCCGTTAATGCTAAGTGGTTGAACTCACCCATGTCATCTACTTAATAACCTAAACTTTTTTGTTTTCGCTTCAAAGGGCGATCAAAATTGCGTAAAAAGGTGTCACATCTTTCGAAAATGAGCCGTTTTCGACAAAATCTACTTGCAAAACTGTTTGCACGGTGTAAGTAATAACGCACGTTAAATTATGTCCGACGTTTTAACAGAGCGTGCCATGGAAATAAGTGCACTTAATTATTATAAATTTATTATTGGAATATCAAACCTTAACACCCTGTAGATCAGTGATTATTGACATTTTCAAACAGTATTATAGGAACTTGTCCTAATTTTGATTGCGCCTGCTCCTGCGCTCTAATGCTAGAAGTTTTCCCAATTTCAAAATTTTCTGCCCGATGACATTTTCATATACAGCTAACTGTCACCGGCAAATTTTTTAGTGTCAAATTTCAGTGTTTTAGTGTTAAAAGACAAAGACTAGACCTAAAGGCGGTAAGTTAATATCAACCTTGTCTACCTATACCTACAATGATTTCCGTTAATTTCTGATTTGAACCGAATGGCAACATACCGAATTTTAAAATGATGCGATTGCTATGCGACCTTTTTCCAATCAATTAATTAAGTCAAATCCGGCCAAAAAATGATCTAAATTTACAATATCGAATCATTGTAATAAACCAGTTCTCAATGTTGCCAATTTAGGTCAATACCTTGGCATTTGTGTTATTGAATAAACCCTGCCCTGTGCTTTATGAAAGCTATGGAAAATCTACTAGTTTGTCCCAGGGCAGGTGGATATAAAATGTCAAGCATCTTTGAGAGCACATCAAGGTGGCAACAGCGATTTTCGTTTACATAACTGAACGGTTATGGTATAACTTTCACCTTCACTTAATTGGAATTCCAATTCCTTTTTCCTTGTTGCAAGGTAACATAACATTGATTATTAAATAATTCTGCGGCAACGTTTCCAACTTAAGTTAAAGCCGTATTATTGGGTTTTTCGAAGCAAAATTTCGATGGATGAAGAACGTTATAAACACGTCCCCAAAGCTCACAAAATTCAATTGATAGGAAAATGTCAGGTTTTCAATCCACACTATCGGCTATTTTGTTAAATTAAGACCGAGGAAAAATATTTTAAACGCTTTGTTTATAGGGTTTTATAAACCTGAGATGTTCTCAGTACCTGATGTAGGTGTGTACTGAAACAATTTTACAGTTAATACGAGCTGTGCTAACATTTGCCTGGTAGCAAATCGATGAATAAAGGCAATTCTAGTGTATATATAGGTATGTTGAGCTTCCACGTGCACATAGATTATCTTGACTAGTTTTTCACGCATCATGCGGCAGGAAATGTCATTCATTTATTACCTTATAGAATAATAAAGACAAAAGAATTGAATATATTACTCACCAACACTTCTCGTGATTAACAATAACTGTTTGTAAATCCTCTCGTACACATTCGACAAAATCTCTGTCGTACACAATTCTATTAAATTTAATAGATAATCTGCGTAAAATTTCGTCAATCTCCAGATCGCTCATATCACCATTACGCTCATATTAGTTACACGAGACCCAAATTACGTGTAAATACCACCAAACACTCACAAATCACTAATGAAAGCATTTACTGGCATTTATTTAGAAAGACATGTGTATTTAGGTACCAAAGTCGATATTTCTAGATATCCACTAAATTGTTATCTCGAAAAAGACAAACAGGCTCAGAGTTTTCAAGCAAAAGTAGGATGGCATGAAGGCCGTAGGTCCCTCCATTCTTCAGACATGTTTTTTTCATAGCCGAGATCCTGCGCAATAAAATATATGCGTTGCAACTAACGATTAGTGGACCATTTGACCATTACTGCGTCATCCAAAATTCTCACCCGTTTCAGTTATTGCTGTAGACAATAGCATAGATAAATACAAGTTGGGTAATAATCTGGAAATATGAGTATTACATTACTCATATTTTAATTTTCATCGTCACTCATTTGGTTCAGGAGAATTGCTATGAGCCTTCAGGAAATAAAGTTACCGAAAAACGAATAATTACTTTCTTTCTACATATTGTCAAGAATATCATCTAGTGGTTTAACTTCATTAACTTCTCACTAAGCTGTATAGCAGTCTTTTTTGAAATACATACAGTTGAGTCCGGATATAACGAACTTGAAAGTTGAAACTTGAGTAAGTATGACTAAAAAGAACACAAAAAGATAAACAAAATTCAATTTGAAATCTACTTCATAAAGTCTGTAATTTTTG